TGACGACTCAGAGCCCTCGCGACACAGTCGGCAAAACACGCGTCTGGATGTTTAGGTAACACCCGTGCAGTCAGTATTTAAAATCACTCAGTATTTCTAATCCGTCCAGCAAGATGGCTTACTTCTCGGGTTTAACAAAATTGTATTCTAAGCAGCAGGGAGGCTGCTTGTCATTTGGTTTCAAACCCGTATGCGTACTCTGTCCAGCACGCGCGAGCATCATATCTCCGCGCTTCCATATTTTGCAATGGAAAAGCACTTCTTACTTAAACGGCGTTTTAGTTGATTTCGTAAGGCAAAGGAATATGGAGAATTTACATGCAGCATACATCAAGGGTCCGGGTGCGTCCGGAGAAGCAGTCGATCAATGGAAACCTTGGTCATGTATCATCAGGACCTCGAACTGCAGTTTATGCTTCTGACTGATGCGATGACTCAGACCTCGTCCAGTGTGAGTTGGTGTAGTGGTGAACTAGCAGAGTGGGAGTCAGGCTGCAGCGGTGCCTTCTATGGCACTCCCAATCAATGGGATCCGATCCGGCTCCTATCCGGCATTGCGCTCTGTGAACCGGGGGTGTGGCGGTATGCCTTGTTGCGGATTTACGTCGTGCCAGCAACCTGCCTCCTCTCCCGCATCCGGTCTTCTTGACTCTGCCTCGACACGGGACGCAGGTGGGGAGGAGAGAGTGTGGTAGATGCAACGCAAGTCTAATATCACCACAAACTAATTCACGCGCAGATGTCCTGCGGAGCACACGGTGAATACTGTCGAAACCAACGGTCGGACTCACATGCTTTTAAATGTATGCGGTCCAACCCGATTTAACGCGCCAACTAGCCATCGAATAGTGGTATTCAAAAAGTCTCAAAGAAAAGTTAGGAAAAGTCAACGAGGGATCAGGAGAAAAACGCTTTCAAATAGAGGGAATTTACAATGTCTCTAACAACATATTTGGTTGATCCATCTCGATCTCCAGCTGGAAAACTACCAAAAACTAAATTGCCCATATTAGCTAACATACGCAGAATAGGTAGAGCAGGTCATCTTTGCTATGAAGTATGCACGAAGTACGCGAACGTCTGAAAATATCATAGGTAAAATGGGAAAGCAGAAATGTCGGCCGTGTTTCCTTCCTCCAAACAAAAGTAGAAGTAACCAATATCAGCAAGCGGAGACACAAACCTGCACATTCATGTTGCGGTGGACCACGACATGATTGGCTGAAAATGGCGTGAATGAATAGCTGTCAGATCTGACGTCCCTAGTTCATTCGGGTCTGACATTGCCAGCACCAACTATAGCATTATTTTTTTATTAAAAATTGTTTATTTGTAGGTGTTTCTTTTCGTTGAGATGAACGCATTTCAAAAGCAATGCTGCATAACGATCGACCTCTCGCAGAAAATTGAATTTGCTCGGTTGTCTACACAGGCAGGCGGAGCCCAACGTGATTTGAGGTGTCATATTTGTCAAGTCATCCATGACAGTAGCTTCGACAATTGCGATTGGCAGCCCGAAGTTCGGAAGGGGAAGAGGGTGGAAGAGAGGGGTACGGAAAATAGGGTAGTTAAAGGCGTTCTTGAATTTCTTTTGTAGATCGTTCGAAGGCAGAAAGTGTAATTCACACGTAAGTTAGTAATTTTCTCGCATGCGCGTTTGATTTTGAAATGCGCGTTTCTACCGCCAACGCATGTTGGACTTCCTTTACGGGCTTTATGACTGCAGTTTATACTGTGTATGCGCTGTCTCATTAAATTCGTGTTCGATCCGAAAATGTTAGTTAAGTAGGGTTGTAACATTAGTTGTCGCGCGGCATAATTCCAAGATTCTTCAGTCACATCAAGGCGGGGAGTTTTTAAATGAGTTTCATTCGGAACGTCTGTAAAAACTAATTTCTTATGTAATGTGGACTTTTCTTATTTATTTTCGATGCCCGTACAAATGCAAGTACATTTTACGGAAGTGCGCACAAAATAATCCTTTTCTTACTCACTCGGTACCGAATTGCCTTTAAAAAGTTTGCTGATGATGAAGGAGTAGCTTCCGGCCTTAGAAATGATTCTAATTATGGGACTTTTGGGATCATGATACACCCATTAATAGAACACTGTAACTCTAAATTTATCAATTTTGTTTTTAAGTCAAACATTACGGTTTTGCACTGCGACATTTAACGAACCCTGTGAAGTATCTTTTTGGTAACGCATAAAATTTTGTCATTTTCCATATATGGAAAATATGCGAGTTGTATTTTAGAAATCCTGAAAGGGAGTCGGGTGCAAAATAATTTGGGAAGTGAAAAATTTTTAAAAACTGAATCCTACTTTTTTGTAAACTATGAAATACAAAAAATGTTACCACAAGGGCATAGACTTCTTCGTGTGTATGGAGTGCGAACCGCACATTTATTTCTGGTGAAAGCCTGGTCATTGTGTGCGTATCATGCATTGGTGGTAGGGCAGTGCTCCAGCTTTCACCTCCCGCAATCGTGACTCTGTCTGGATACCACGTTCAGGCGGACGATGAGACAGAGTGCGACCAGTACAGCGCAAGTCTACCATCAGACAAAACCAAGTTACCATCTGCGTGTTCACTTTGGTGTGGGACAGAGGGTGGACATCGTTGGGGTGTCTACTCTTCCAAACATGAGGACTAGATAGCAAAACTCTCATACTCTGAACCGCAGCACAGAACTATTGTCTTCGCGGACCGCTGCGCAGATAATTTTTCGGTAATGATCGGGTGAAATCTCAAAGCATCTGCGGCATACAAAGAATACCTACCTGCTGTGCCTACTATACTTAGTCTGACATGCTTAGTTCGGCTTGGTGTTTCATCGTTCAAGATTAGGTCGTATGTTTTAGATGGTCTGATGCATTATCTACAATGAAGTCAGCTTAGAGAATTGAGAAGCGATCGTTGTAGGCAGTGGGGTGGATTATCTACAATGATCTCAGCTCAGGGAGTTGGGAAGCGATTGTTGCATACAGTTAGTGTTTATTTTTTAATTGTTCCGCTTAATTTCGGTTGCTGTATGCCAATGCATTAAAACATTCCCGCCTCTAAAATGAATTTGCCAATTATCTATACTTATTCTGCCATTCCTCTATGCAAATATAGGCCCGCCCGTAAAACCCCTATTACCACCTTTCCCACAAGACAGGCATCTTTGGTTGGTCGTGTGTCTTTGAGGGTCTTTAGCCGATCGTTGCCAATTTTGTTTGCGTTACTGATGGAGGAAGTCGCGTTTCGTATGTCTTCACAATTTCCGCTGAAAAAGCTGCAAGAAGGACATCAGCAGACTATCACATCATAGGCCAGTACTCTATAGTCCGCTTATCAGCTGTTTATGGGAGCTCCTTACAGGAGGAAGAGGAGCCGATAGCTAGTACGAGGACTAGTTCAGTACTTGCGTCGTGTTTGTCCCCTTCTTGAATACTTTGGTTTTTCAGGCCACCACAGTCTTTGCGGTAGACGAGGACATTAAGGAAGGCCAGCTGGTTGTTTTCCTCTTCCTCCATCGTAAATTAAAGGCCCGGAAAGATGGCGTTGAAATGTTCTTTTATTTCAGCACCAGATCCCTTTCGATGACGACGAAGGTATCATGCGCAAACCGAGTCCAGAATTTCGGTCTGTGATGTCGGAAAACCAGCGACTCCAACCGTTGTAAGACCGGCTAGGCTATGATTCCCGAAATCGGCGCACCCAGTAGCGTGGCCTTTATATGCTCTTAGATTGTTCCGTCAAAACTAAAGTATGTCTTGAGACAGGAGTGCAGAAGTTGGAGATTCTCCGTTTTATCCGTTTATCAGTTTCATCGGTTCCATTGTGGTGACATAAAACCAAAGAATTCAGGAAGGCGAAAAAATTCAACGCAAGTACTGAGCTACAACAGCAACCACCCAGTCACGAACGCAGTTGCGTAAGGACACTCTACAAGCGTGTGGAGACACGGCAGTGAACCGGAAGACAAGGTTGCTGAATAACAACAACCTCGACGGGGTATTCAAAGCCACTGGCTACCCGCGCAACTTCGTCAACTAGTACCTGTGTAAACGAGGCGAAAGACAAAATCAAACAGGAACCAAATTTTGGCCAGCTGTCCTGTGCGTGAACAATGTCTCAAAAGCCGTCAGCCGCTTTCTCACACCCCTTGGAATTAGGATAGCATACAGACCGGAGGCAACCATAAGACGTCAGATCATGAGGCCGACAGACCCTCTGTCATGGCAAGAAACATTTGAATTGGTTTACCGTGTCTGGTGCAGCTGTGGGCAAAGCAGCAATGTCGGGAAAACCGGAAGACTACTGCGGACGCGTATGGCCGAGCACACAGCAGCAGTGGGGTGGAAAGACGCCAGCTCCCAATTCGCGGCCCACTCTACGGGGTCCAACCGTACATTCAATTTTGACGAAACAGAAATCCTTGCTAGTGGTGGCACCCACGTGAGCCGTGAACTGTTCGAGTCATGGTTTTCCGATCCTCAGTCAATCAACAAGCGCAATGACCTCCCCTCATCATATTCGGCGTTGGGACTTTGTCTAGGCAACGTAGTTAACCGCGAGGACAGCGCTCGGAAGCTGCCAACTGTGATAGGCATGTTGCGGCCCAGCAACTACATCATATAAATACTGCAACACCTGGGCACTTTACCACCCTTATCTGACTCTGTTTCTGATGATGGATTCGAGTGAGAACCCGAAACTTCAGGCTAGTAAAGCTCCTGTCTCAGCGATCGTGTCTCCTTCTTCGTAAGTGACTTAAGTATTTCAGAGATGATATCACAGCAAAAATGAGAGGGAGAAGAATGTCAAATATATCCAAAGGCGACCCCTGTGGATTCTTATTTATATTTAATGTGCGTCATCTCAGTACCAAAATACAAACTGTAGAAGTAAAAAGAATTGCGATAAGAATTTTATTAAGGACCCGAACACAATAAAATATGTTAAGCCATAAAAAAACCACTGACATAGGCAACCTCCTCAAAAGTCCCTCCTAGTTATCGGACATGATTCCAGTCTCGTATTTTTTGAATATTCTAATAAAGTCCTCCGACGGCTTGGTTTTCATGAACTTAATCACACGCTCTATACGGCCGTCGATCCTGTTGGGACGCTGAAGACCCAGGAGGCCACAGACGAAGGGATAGATGTCAATCTGCTCGAAATGTTGAATTCCCTGCAGAACCTCGATGTCCGGACCACTCGCGACCATGAAAGGGTGCATCAGTGGGTCCTCATTGTCATAGCCGTGGTTGCCTCGCATCGCTGGTTAACAAAGGGAAATATCATATTTACTTTTTTTCTTTTGAGCAGTAAATATATCTCGATTATGTGGTCAATTTATTGTTTGAGGGCTAATCAAACTGTAGATATTCAGTTTAGAAAAATTCCATAAAAAGGGAAAAACTGAGTTTGACGATCTTGCTCTCAGCTAACTGAAACCAACCACAATAAATATATTTAAATTTTTCCATTTCAGGAAACTTTTTAAACATGTAATAGGGTGATGTAGAAGTGAAAATCAACCAAAAAACTGAACTTACTCTCAAGACATATCAATAAAACAAACACTTTTAGAGTATTAGGTGCACAACGACGTGTGTGTATTTCAGTATAGAGTACAAAGTCAGACGAGATTTAAATTTTCCACATCGCCTTTTGGTTAAACTTAGATGGCAGCTCTTGTACTCCAGCTCTTATAAGTGTGGAGTAAGTCTGCGACCGTCAGTTTCGTAAAAACAAGAATAATATAGTTACATGGCGATAAAGTGGATAATTTATGGTTTGGTTATGTGGTCGTATTCTTTCCAGTCGGAATGCAGCGCTTCATAATAATTTCGAATTTTTCGTTTATTCAAAATGGTTCTACTGAAAACAGCAACCAAAAAGGATAACGTGCATAAACACGAGAAAAAAAGCTTTGGACATACGTTTTTTTCCGCTGTACTGATTTTTCTGGGTGTTAATCAAGAAACCTGTATCGCCTAGGAGGAAAACTGGCGGCATACGATAGCTCCGCTTCAGATGAAAACGATCAGGCAGGTCCTCTTTGAGCCATACAGTGCAGTTTGTCAAGTTAGAGTTTTTGATGGTGTTGTACAAAAATGTTGCATTGTACTCTGCACGAAATAAAAATATAAATGACAGCGGTAGGCTTTGTAAACCTACCTCTAGACAAAATTCGACTGTTCTAGTATTGTTTATGAGGGAGTAATAAATAATTCAAGCGCATGCGTTCGACAAAAAGCCCTTCTGAGATATCGAGTAATTAGAGCCTTTGTGTTCTCGCCGAGTCAAAGTAAACCAAAACGGAGCCGACGATCCTTGCAGCACGCATAGTTTAGTGAGAAACAACATGGGATAAAAAGGCCTAACTGACTCCGTACGGAATCGACAACAAAAGGCATGCCACTGTACATCGACTAAAACTATTTTTTAAAGATTTTTAGACAATCTCTAAGTTACACTAATAGAATCCAAGTGAATACAAATGAAGAGAATTCGAAAAATTATGCAGAGAGACAACACCCTTGTGAGCGTTTAGGTATGCAAAAATGGCCTGCAGCATACATAGATTCACATATAATGCATGAGCAGCTCGCTAAGAGTGCAACAGGCCAGACGCAGACAGCTGTATCACATATGTATTTAAAGAGAAAATGCACGATTTCCCGAAATACTTACTTCCTTTCGGCCAGAGTCCGACCAATCCCGGAGAGTTATTTCCAAAATAGTGTACGTTGTATTTGAGAAAATGCCAAAGTTCGATTCTGTTTTCTAATGGTATTTGTGCCATGCCATGGTCAGCTGTCACGATCAGATTCACTTTTCCATTGAGCGCCGGACTCTCCTTTATCCTTTTTAGGAGATAGGCGATCCCTTTATTAACTAGTTCAATGACGTCAAGAACTTCCTTCGAGTCTGGGCCATGTTCATGGCCAGTGTGGTCTGGCTCGTTAAAGTAGAAGGCACAGAAGTTGAACTCATCGCGAGTTATCCAGTCCATTATACGATCAATGCGATATTCAAATGTAGGATCATCGCTGTACAAGCCGAACGTTGCAAAGGGGTACTTGCCGGCGTAAGCGTTGTTACTTCCCGGCCAGAAGAAGACGCAACTCCGCTTGCCATGGCGTTGGTTTGTGATCCAGATTGGTTCATTCTTGTTGTAATTTAAGAAGACGGGATCTAGCGCATCCGCAGTTACCCGCATACTGAATGTACGGTTAAGCTTAGGATCGTAAAATTTGTTATTATAAAGACCGTGATTTTCAACATAACGGCCAGTCGCGATTGAGAAGTGAGTTGGGAACGTAATTGTCGTGAAGACATTCTTAACTTTTGCTCGGAAACCGGCAGCTGCAATCTCCTCGAATGCGCTCACATTTCTGTTGGCCTTCTTAGCTACCTCGATGTAGTCCCATCTAAAACCATCTAGTGAGACGAGGATAACTTTGCTCGCAAGACAGTGCGCAGTGAGTAAGTGCAACAACACTATCAGAACGCTAAGAGACCGCATTTTGTCTGATTACTCAAAGACCTCGTGAAATCTGCCTCGTGGTATATATATATGTTTATAAACGTATTTGTCTATGGGGAATCTAGTGGGGCTTTTCTCGGATAATTATGCACATTAACATGAAATGACAACTGATTGGTTGAAAAGTTTGAAGACATCAACGCGAAAAACAATGCTTCTGGCAGCACTTTCCAGAGACATGACCAGAGTCACTTTGGCATCGCAGCACTTTGCACCGCGTTTCAAGTTATGCACTCCTGCTCACGGTGACACGGCTCTGTTTGCACACATTTTCGTCGTTTTTTGACATCTGCGCACTTTGGGCTTCGGAGGGTTGTTAACAAGCATTTTGGCGTTTTGGGTTACTCTTACCTTTTTTATGAAAACCAATATTTTCGTCATAAATCACAATTAAATGGTGTTTTTAGTTCAAATTGATCCAACTGTGAAAAATTCGGCGTCTCGGTGGGATTCAAACCAAATGTTTCAAGTGAAAATCACAATTAAACAGTGGGTTGGGCAAGGTTTGGTTCTGCAGCCTCACTTGATTGATGCCATATGGTTAGCTTACTAAAACAGTATTAGTTAACATGCCCATCTTAGCCACTCGCTAGACTAGTAAGGGAAAGAGAGCGCAAGCAGTGCTCGATGCACCTGCAGAGAAGTGAGTGATGCTAGCGTGTACACACTTCCACCGACACAACTACTCGCGGCCTTTCCTTATTAGGCAGGCGAGTGTTCTCCCATAAAAATCCATGTCCACTGTCCAGTATGTGCATGGCCGCTTGAGATAGATGGTCGCGTCTTTTTCCGCTAACTGATGTGCATGCATACGTGTTAAGACAGACTTCCCAGTTTGACCACAATAGACGACATCACAATTAGAACATGGGAGTTTGTAGACAACAACTTTTCTTTCGAGGTAGCCAACCCTGTCCTTAGGGCGTACAAGCTTTTTGCGTAAGGCAGTTGCCGGCTGGTGTGTTACGTGTATCTGGCACTTTTAAAATTGTCTTTCGACTAGTTCAGATACTTTTCTCGTATTTGGGAGAGTTCGCCGGGTTGTTGACTTTGGTGCCCGAGCGACCGTAGCATTAGAAATCTGTATCAAGCCGTATACATGAACATCAGTTAGCGGTAAAGGACGCGACCATCTATCCCAGTTGGCCATGCACACACTGGACACTGGGCACTCACATTGTTAGCGCCTGCCCAATAAGGGAGGACCGCGAATTCCTGGAGGCAACGCACTCAGATGAAGCATGCATCAACCGGCATATTGATCTAAATGCCACATGCAAAATCGTTAAGGATAGATTCAAACTGACCCAATCAATCCCGAGAAGATGACTCTAAACAATTATAGGATCCTTTATGAGACCCGGTCTAGAAGTTAATTGTTTTTGCAGGATCTCTGTCTAAATACGAACTGGCGAACCAGTTTCGAAAATTTGCACAATACAGTTTGCTGTTTCCCACAGAATTCCATCTTCCTATATACATATATTTATGCATATATACAAGCAGGAAAAGAAAGTTGGGGGAGACAGCCTTCTTGCTAAAATTTTCGAGCCTGCTATCTCAGCCAAATATTGTACATGAAAAATGTTATAAAGCGCTCAACCTTTTAAACGTGCCTAATAAACGTTTTTTGTGGCCGGTCGAAGGTCTGCGGCAGCAGCCCTACATTACATTCTGCTACCCGGCAGGAATTATTGACCTTTGTTCTCATTGGATTTGCGAAGATTTGTATAGCTTCCGGATAGACAGGTCTATTGCTCTGTGGCATATCCGCCTACTCTGCGGATTTTATTCTCTCTCGCTGCAGTAAATGTTGTCCGACCACTTCTGTCTGTCCGATGCTTGCCCTGGGAACTATTTCGTTGTTGACGATCACATATTGGCAGTGGCTAATCTGTTACTGTGGCCAGACGTCCTTCAGGTGATGAGTATAGAAGAACTTTCCACCAGAAGGGCAGCACACGTCGGCGTACGTTACTGGCTCTCTGTCACATCCCCCCCCTCCGCGCCAACTCACACAGACAGCCGACCAGCTGATGCAGACGCGTGGCTTTGCCATGACCTGACTGATGACTTTTGTAACTTTCCCAACCACTTCTACGTTTCCTCTCTCGGAATTGAAATCACAGACAGGGAATCCTACCCAAGGTTTAACTGTAAAATCAGTGAACCTCAGATTCATCTGGGATCTCAAATAGTTAGTTCGTCTGTCAGGTCTAGCCTTTTTCTCCATCTCGCGTCACCGCAACTATTGCTCGCTGGTATCATATCCCCTTTGGTGCTCAGGCCCATTGTTGCATCTTCTCCTTCTCCCTAGTCGCCCAGCAGAACCAAACAGATGAAATGGGTTTGCCTGAAGGCCCGTGAAGTCAATCACATCTGTCACAACTTCCGCGTCTGCAACGACCTGAGTGGCAGGAGTTTAATTGACGATACTGGTGTACAGCTCAGTGCCATGCCTCCCATAGCAACCGACCGCCCAACATCCGGCCGCTTCCTCAAAATTGCCAGCACTCCCCGATCGCCACCTTCGGTTTCTGTTTCCTTACCCTAGATATTGGCTTTCGGTGCCCGTTCCCTGCGTTTTCCTCGTTGCTATCGTCGCCTGTGCTATTTGTGGTGCTATATTTCCTGCCGTTTCATTAATTTGGTCAACAACTAGCTTGCTCATCTTTGCAATCAGGCCATCAGTCTCACTGTCCGGGATATTCCTCCTTCTGTGGTCTCCTGTTGAATGGGGGTCCAGACCCAGATGCTGGGCTTCTACTCCTTCTCGCCAAGTACCTCAAACCTACCCATCCGAATATCGATACCAGATCCTTGCTGCGGAATTCCGTTCATCACGTCCGTGTCACTGGTCATCCAGTATATTCTTCGACCCGCTGTCTCCCTCCCGCACATCTGGGCGCTGTCTGTCAGAAAACCTTTTGGCCTCTAATCCGCACATAATCTTCAGGGCTGCAATGATTGACTGGCGACCCTGCGGAGACTACCGGGTTGTGTCCGAAATGACCAACCTTGGCTGCCTTTCCATCCACTTTCTATAGGCCTTCTTTGCGACATTATTCAGCACTCCGTTCTCCTTCAAGATGGCCTGATTCGAGAATTCTGTCAACTCACCTCCTCTCCAGAGAACGTTTCGTATTTGTCCGTCCCCATACCTTTGATATACTAGAGTTCCTATGCCTGCATTTTGGACTCTGAAAAACTTCCCATAGGTCGGCAGAAAGCGTGATTTATGATTTGCCCTTTTAGAGTTGCGAAAACTCCCCTAGCGGGAATCAGAGTACGATGTGGCGAGCATACCTAGCTTTCAATAAATTCTCGTCAGGCCAGTAAAGTTATACGGGAACCGGGTAGAAGTAAAACATGTCAGCGATAAGAGAAATCGATAAAATTTCTCCTTACAACACAGATGGAGTGTGGGGATAGGGGGGAGGGGGGTGGGGGTGATAGCAGTCAGTGTCAGGGGCAGGGTGAGAGCGGAAGGGCGCGGAGAGTCGCAGCGTAAACGGGTATCCTGAAATGTTTATTGAAAGAACATTGCCGAACGACCGATCAAACCCGTCACACCGTACGCCGAAAAGAAGACTTTGTTCCTCAAGGTCCCTTTCCACGGGGACGCTGTGAGTGAACTCCTAAGGATACGCCTTGATCAAACTGTCTCGTGAACCCTCCCAGTACCAAGATTTCAAATATCATTCTCTAATAACCCGATTTTACACGGAGAAGGTAAGGATAAATGTCCACCGCGGACCACCTCAATGTGCATATATTCCTTCACTTGCTCCCGTGGAGCAGGTTATATTGGTTGCACGAGTCGGTTCTTATCCAAGAGAATACGGGAACACCTTCCCGCATGGCGGGCAAAAAGTGAAACTGGGAGAATTGACAGTCGCCGCAACTTTGCGCGCCCTTCCGCTCTCACCCCACCCCTGACACCGCTATTACCCCCACCCCCCTTTCTGCCCCACATTCCCACACGCCGGCTATGTTTTAGGGAGAACTTTTATTGATTTATCTTATTTCTGACATATTTTACTCCTACCCCGTTCCCATATTTCTGTACTGGCCCAACGATAATTTGTCGAAAGCTACGTATTCTCGCCACCTCGTCTTCTGGTTACCCATTGTGGACACCTATTTTGGAGACTCCTTACTAATAAACTTTACCGTCAAAGAATACGTGGAGCTTTTTTCCATGGTGTTTGAACGTGGTCCTTAGATCGTAGAAGTGTTTCCTAGATGCCGCGCCTCCGAATTCCTTGGATGACTGGTCGACTCCCGTCAAGGGTCTTAGCCATTCGCAAATTTATGTTTCCACTTCCAAGCATCAAATACAGCGTGCTTTGAACTTGATAAACTTCCACCACTGGTTCTTCTCGAAATATGTATACACCACTGCGTCAACCGTGAATCACCTATCCTGTCCCATGGTTTCACTCGAACTCTCCGGAAACGTCCTCGTCTCGTTTTACAAGGTGGAGGCTACCTTGACCGACAACACCCTCCTGGCGCACTCTGCCTCCGACACACCTGCTTATCTCATGATCAATAACCGCAGTGTCACAGTCGCCACCGTTTTTCGGCACCACCTTAAGGGTCAGACCTAGCCCAACTTTCTTTTTCTAAAATGTTAGCATTTGCGGATGGCGATATCGCACATTTGGACG